CGAACCGCGTCATCGTCATGTACCTGCGCTGCTTCACCGGCGATCGTCCCCGTCAATGGCTCCGCTGGCTGCCGTGGGCCGAGTACATCTACAACACCGCCTACCAGTCGTCCCTGCACGAGACGCCGTTCCGCGTGGTGTATGGCCGGGACCCGCCCACCATCCGCTCATATGAGCCTGGCGGGTCGTGGCAGTCGCTCGGGACATGGAGGTGCGTGAGGCCTTCCTCTCCGACGTCCGTCACCGGCTAGAACAAGCGCAGGCAGCGCAGAAGCTCCACCACGACAAGCGTCACCGGCCGGTTTCATATACAGTGGGTGACTGGGCGCTTCTTCGTCTGCGTCAGCGCGCCCCGTCCTCTCTGCCCCAGTCTACGACAGGCAAGCTCAAAGCTCGCTACCTGGGGCCCTACCGTGTGGTGCAACTCATCAACGACGTCGCCGTGCGCCTCGAGCTACCCCCGCAAGCTCGCATCCACGACGTGTTTCATGTGAGCACCCTCAAGAAGTTCGTCGGCACGCCTCCATCCGCTCCACCACCACTACCAGACATCCACCATGGCGTGGTGGTTCCAGAGTTGGCACCGGTCGAGCAAGCTCGCTTGGCGCACGGTGTCCGTCAGGTCTTGGTTCACTGGCGCGGTGAACCGGCTTCCTCGGCTACCTGGGAGGATCTCGATGATTTCCGCAGCAAGTATCCAACGTTTCAGCTCGAGGACGAGCTGGATCTCGAGGGGGGGAGAGATGTCATGTGGGGCCATACATATGCACGTCGCCGGCGGGCCCAAGATATCAGGAGAGCCGCGGCCCGGGCATCCGCAGCAGGCGCGAGCAGCGCGCAGGAGGAAGGCAGGGCTGGTGAAAGTGGCTAGATTTGCATGGCCTTGATATTAGGAGAGTTTATTTCTAAATTAGTTTATTTCCAAATGGTTGTTGCCAAGTTTGTTAGGCCGCCGGCCTACTTATCCTGTAAGGGTGTGACATTTGAGATTAAGCAAGTTATTATCTCCTAAACTATCTCTCTCTCTCTCAACAAAGCCAAGCCTGCGGCGGAGGGGAAAACCTCGCCGGAGAAGACGGATCGCGGTTACGAACTACGTAGCCGAGGTCCAGCTATTCGAGGACCCGAGGTCCTTGACAGCTGATTTGAATCAGCCCAGGACAAGCCAGCCAACCAGCTGCTGCTGCAATTTGATTTGAATGAAGTTCAAATCAAATTATGGCGCCAATGAACCATAGTTGGCGCCAACTCTCAGACCCATTCAAATACATGTCCGTCAACAAGTAACAACATTAACACATACAAGTTAGTACCAACCAGTTCTAATACCATTTCATTACATCTCACTCAAATGTGCTTCCAAGGCCATTGAAATAACACTTCATTACAACAGCAGTACAAGGCACAGCTGCTAGCTGAACCAATTTGCAGGAATTACAACAACTCATTCGAATTCCTCAGATCGAATTACAACAATTCATTACAGCAGTACATTCATGAGTTCTCCATAACACTACTACTTGGAGTATTACTAGAGCATTTACAAAACTTGTAGGAGTTGCACAAAACATTTGCAACACCTACAGAATCATGCGCCTTCTAATATGCGCATGTACTCCATGTACAACATCAACCTACATTGGCATACAATCCTACAATTTCCAATTGGTACCATTCCAGTACACTTACCTACTGACCTAAGTGGCATATGTACAAAATTTGTACCCTTTTCTAGGCACATAAGATTAAGCATGAAGGCAGTTCCCATGCAAAAGCCAACGACCCAACCATCAATGGGTACAGCACCTCTACACAATCATTGTCCCCACATCCCCAAAGATATGAACTCCCTAACCGCTGACATACTGTTACTAGCATTGAGCTGAACCCAGGGAGATGGTGGGTAGGTTGGGGATCCTAATCCATGTTCCCTACTGAACAACTAATTGTGGAGTGCAAAGCAAGAAATTATAATCATCTTTTGCTTTGTCCGATGGCAGTACGGTACCCCATCAAGAATCTGCCACTGGTTTTTTAGAACCCCAAATGTCCGTTCTACAACATTGCATAGCCTAGAATGAGTCAAGTTAAATTTCTCCTGTCGAGACATAGTCTCTACGGGTACACCCCTAAAATCATCCAGATGGTACCTTGTATTTCTGAAAGGACCCATGTATCCTGACTCCAGTGCGTAAACATTGTCCACCAGATAGTAGCGGTCTGCAACACATGAACCAATTGCACAATTAGGTTTTATGGACTACACAAGCTACTGAAACAATGTAACACATGATTCATTGGCAGTAGTCGCTCACCGGTTGGTGGATGCGGGAAGTTTGGTTCCTCCCAACATTCTTTGAGAATCGACATGTCATGCACCGAACCCGCCATCCCCACACCGACATATGTGAAGCGCCCATCCATGTCGACAATGGCACAGACATTTATAGTTACATTTCATTTTCTATTTATATGGTCAATTTTGGCCTCCTTGTTCACCCTAACTTTGACATGTGTGCCATCCAAAGCCCCGATGCATCCATCGAAGAATGGTGCATATGAGCCAAGTTGCCAATTCACTCCAGCATAACTGTTGTCTGCCAAGTTGTATAATTTTTAGCTGCTTTGCCCGAACACGCTTTAAGCATGACGGAACACAAAAGGCACACCATGGCCAGACTCCCAAACTGAGAAATAACCCAACAAGCTTATCCCATCACCAAGATATTATCTTTAAACACAACAATCAAAAGCTACTTCGGGAAGGGGAGCGGGCCTGATGTAGCTGAGCCTAAGCCATGAAACTGATGGGAATGTTGCTAGTAATGTATTCTGTTCAAAGTCAACAACGCCAGTAACCTAATCAGATACTACTGAAGAAAGAAAGCATTTTGTTCAATGAAAAAGGTGCTCATTGGATACTGAATAACATCACCTATAATTTTAGTTGATTAGTTCCAAGCGTCCCCGGATCCGTGGGCAGCGCTCGGGAAAGACCTGCAAAACGAGAACGTGGGGTCCGAGCCGAGGGTGGGGACGACGGCGTCCTGGAGCCGGAGCGGGGGGCGGCGGAGGCGGCAAATCCGGAGGGGGGGAAGACGGCGCCCTCGTGAGCCGGGGGGGGGCGGGGAAGACGGAGGCGGCGATCGGGGGGGGGGACGACGGCGGTGGGTTCTGCGAGGGATGCGGAGCTCACTGTCGTCGTGGAGGCTGTCGACGGCGAGGGGGGCCCTCACGGCGGAGAGAGGCGGGATGGGATGGAGGCGTTTGCCAGCTGCGGGGGCAGGCACGGCGAAGCGGAGCTGACGACCGCCGCGGTCCGCACCGAGGGAAGAGGAGGGGCGAGCAAACGGAAACCCTAGCCGCGCGACACGAAGTGTACCGGACTGAGGGAGAGGAGCAGAACACGGCCGCGTTGCCTACTAGGGCAGCTGTTCGGCTGGAAGTGGGCCGCCGAACGGCTGGGATGATCAGCCGGCTGAAAACCAGCCCAGCCAGCCGTTTTCAAGCAGCCAAACAGACCGTAAACTTTCATACAGGCTACGCCATTAGATTTATGATTGTTGTCTACTGTGTAATGTAGTCTGAATCAGAATATTCTATTAGATTTACCCAACCAGCTGATATGCTTATAGTTGCCTGCATTAACGCGTAGTTTGTATCTTGTTGACTGCATGCCTGGATTCAGTAACTCACATTAGTAACTATTTGTACCTTTATCCACAGGCTATGGCCCAGGTTGGGGGTCTGGTGATGCTGCAACCTGAAGTTGGTGGATCTCGAGATAACTTCTTTTTCGCCGGGATTGACAAAGTTAGGTTCAGGAAGCCAGTGATTGCTGGGGATACACTGATCATGAGGATGACACTGACAAAGTATCAGAAGAGGTTTGGACTCGCAAAGATGGAAGGAAAAGCTTATGTTGGTGGTGATCTAGTTTGTGAAGGGGAGTTCCTGCTGGTCAGCGCAACTGAGTAGTGCAAAGATACTTCATGGTTCTCTGGGAAGAATCATTGGTTAGAGTCAGAGATCTGGTTGGCTCTTTGAAAGAAGCGAGTTTTGAGCTAATTATACAACCGGCAGTTGAGGCAATCCTTAACCTGTTGTTAAGTATGTCGTTGAGTCCATGTGGTGATTTTTATCGCCTGCCAGGGCTGAATCCTGCCCTGTTACTGCTGTAATAGAGAATCACAATATCCTGGGGTAGCTGTTTGATGGAATAAACGATATTGATTTTGTACTTGCATTTTCTTCCAAGAACCTTATGATATACCAGTTGATTGAAATTGTTTTCGTGGTTCCTTGCATTTTCTTTGTTCGTTCATAGAACATCATTACTATTGAAGACATGACGAGTTTGTATGACTTGGTGCAGCCGTGTAAAAAGATATTCACTCTGTAGTCATGGTCATGCATTCATGGCTTTAGCCATCCTTTGTGCAGCTTTCAGAAATAATCACCGGTGAAGACTGACAAATAAAGTGCTTTTTTCCTTTTGACTGAGTAGCGTAGCACGTGGAAGGCTAATTTTTTTTTCCCTAAAAAAACTATGACATGTGACCAAAACAATACGGTCAAGCGCAGAATCATCACTACTAGTGATTTTCTATGTTGTCCTTAGCAGCCCTTAAGCTAACTGAACATACAAATGACATCCACAGCATAAGCAGCCTCTTTTTTTTTTCCCCTTATCACAAACAATGGCAGAGAACAAAGATAAAAATAAAAGCGACGAAGGTATGACCAACCAAAGGCAAGTATCACAGGTTCACAACAGGCAAAAAAAAGTCAACTACAAACTGGTCAACATGACAAAATCGTTAAATTTGCAAGGCACTAATCCAGATCCAAGTCGTTTGGGTTTGCTGGTGAACTCTTGCCCGGTAGTTATTAAGTTGGCCCAAACGCCTCATTATATACCCAAATCAAAGGTTACGAGAATGGCAGCTTGAGCTTGTCCAAGTCGTTTTGAGTTGTTAGTGTTTGGACTTCTTGGGGGCATGGCTAATCTTGTGGCCGTGAACATAAAGAGAAAGGATGCTGAGGTGACCAGCCATGGATTCTCCATGTTCCTTAATCACAAGAGGATCAAACTGCAGGTATGTCATATAGAACACTTTGGGGGTGTGATTTTCTTTTCATTGGTGAATTGAACTGTTTCTTGCGATTTTTTTTTTGAAAAAATCGTATGAAACGGGTCTGCCATAGAATGGCGTTGATACTCGTACTATATGCTAGTTGAGCAAGACGTTCACAGTCTGAGTACGGAGACACGCTTTTATATAGTAGGGTATATAAAAGGCATAATAATCTAAAAAAACTCCTTATTTTCTCTTTGGATTCCAAGTTCCTGCATCTATGTACAAGTACAACGCTTTAGCACGTTCGCATGTGGTTTCAGGATCCTTATGGAATGTTATCCACATGGCAAGATACCGAAATTCAGTTAAGAATTCTCATTGTTGTGCTGTCGAACGACGGATCATGATGCCATCAACATTGTGCACCTTAAACACTCAGATCACTTGCTTATGGTTTCATGTTTGCGACCCTTGCTTGGTGTCATCAGGATGAGGTAGAGATCCCGGAGATGATGGAAGAAGAGGAACCACTGGCAGATGCAGACGCCGGTGCAGCACCAGTTGTTGTGCAGGTGCAGCCAACCATGTTGATGCCGCCCTCACCGTCACCACAGCAACCAACTCAGGGCCAAGAGGCTGCTGTCCTCCATGACAGCACGTTGAGCACTGAATCAAGGAGCAAATCTTCAGAATCACCATTGGCCACAGAACAGGCGGAGCCGATGGACATCGAGGAGGATATCCGGCAGCCACAGCCGCAGCCAGGCCAGCATCCTCACTTTTGGTCAGGTTAGTAAAGCCATTTTTGACATCCAAGCATTTGACTGAATAGATATGAGCTCAGCTCGGCCTTTTCAGTGTCAAAAACTGGAAAAGCTTTGTCAGGTGAAAGATTATAGTAACTGATGTTATCCTATCTCAAACTGCAGGTTTCTTCTGATGACTAGAACTCCTGAAGTGCCGTGCCACTGTTTCCATTCAGCCTTTGTCACCTGCTAGTTCTGTACATGTTGGATTGAATGTGCCGTTGCTATAATGTGTAGCTTCCTGCAATTGGTGCTGTTGCAGTAGTCTTCAGCTCTTCGGACATGTAGCTTCTCTGTCAAGGTATACTGATGTAGTAAGCATATGATGGTTTGAGTAGTTTTAACTGAACCAGGACCTTCTAAAGTTATTCTGTACATGATTTTGTATGGAAACATCAAAGCAGAATTTTGTTCAGCAAACGTTGTTTTGTTTCTGCGTGCGCTTCCCATTTCGTTTCCCGACCTCAACATCCTAGAGATTGTTGATTGCAAACGTACGTATCCAGTAGCTGCCCCAAAGACGTTTACGGCAACAACTGCAGATCCACGACTGTGCTGCCTGCCATCAGGTCGCTGCCCAAGGATCTGCATGGGGGTTCTGTGTGTTGCCAAGCATCTGCATGTACCTTCCACTTCCATTCCACCAGTATGTAAAATAGGTTCGTATATGCAGAATCGCCCCCATACATAATCAATTACACTATTTAGGAGCACAATCCAGTTTTGCTGGTCTCAACTTCTTTGCTCTTTCGGTTATTTGGTGCCTTTTCCTTTCGGTAGCAAGTTCCAAAACTTCTCGGTAGAGTTGGTGCAGCTAGCTGTGTGAACAGAAAGAAATCATGTCTTTATAATAATTAGTTTTTTTCAGTGGCATGAAATGTTTTGGGTTACTATTACAGTGGACATATCAAGAGTCAGTGTAAAGGGGATCCAGTAATTGCCAACTCGCCCTTTCTTCCTCGCCATGTAAATGTAATGGATCAATAGAGATCTGATATCAGTCCTTCAGTGTTGAACTTATCACCTTCTGCTTATTATTAGTGGGAAGCCACTTGTTGACTTTATAGTGTTAGTGTCACAACTACATAGTTGTGCTTTTCATGGGTGCAGCATTCATTGATTGATTTGCAGTGAGCTAGTTCTCCATGCATGATCGTTCATCCCATGAGGATCAAACTACAGGTAATGCAGATGGCAAGTGATGCCCTCCTAATTGTAAAATCAAGGGTTACTACAGGAGCAGCATGTGGATTGTGGAACAGGTAAGAATCATAGCAAATTCCCCTTGATTTGAATATATGTGTTTTGGAGTGTGATTCCATTCTTCTTTTGCCTTGCTGTCACCAGGATAACAAGATTCTAGAGATGACGCAAGAACAGAAGACACTAGCAAGTAGCAACAGATGCACCCACCAGCTAAGGTGCATCCAGCAATGTTCATGCTCACAGAGGTTCTGGGATTGGGCCCATTTCACCGAAATTCGTCCATTTCGGTCCGGCCCGAGATAAAAGTAGATCGGCCCAAATATTTCGGCCTGATTCAAATTTGCAACCCATATTCCCCATAAATCAAGGAAAAAGTCCGCATTACCTCCCTCAATTTTCGCGAAAGTCCGCTTATCCTCCCTGAACTTCAAAACCGAGCAAAACCCCTCCCTCAACTTTTAAAACCGTTCACCTTACCTCCCTGACCCGGTTATAAGCAGTTTTGAAGGCGGTTTTGTCTTTTTCTTTTTTATTTATTTCGGCGGAATTTTTGAAAAATCATAGTAAATCACAAAAAAGTCATAAAATGGAAAATTTAATTTTGTTAGACTCTACATGAGTAGATCTACGCAGTGAATATATAATATAATATGATCTAGTACAAATTTTTTGTTGTAACTTTAGATTTATGTTTTTCTATAATTAAATAGAATAATTCATAGCTGCAGTTTCTATGGTCCAATTGTAGTGAATTTTTTATGGTGGGCTAATTATTGTATGCTTAAACTATAGTAAAAATTTTATACTCATTGGATCATTTATGACTTAGTTATAGATTTTATTTAGGTTTATGCTTGTTAAATATAAATAAATCTATAACTGAACCATACTTGATCGAATGAGTATGAAATTTTTACTATAGTTCAATCATATAATAAATATCCCATCATAAAAAAATCATCACAATTGGACCATAGAAACTGCAGTTATGAATTATTCTAATTAATTAAAAAAAACATAGATCTAAAGCCACAATAAAAACCCTGTACTAAAGCATATCATATTATATGTTCACTGTGTAGACCTACTCATGTGAAGTCCAACAAAATTAGATTTATATTTTATGGTTTTTTTGTGATTTACTATGATTTTTTAAAGATTCAGCCAAAATAAAAAAACTGCTTATAACAGGACCAGTGAGGTAAGATGAACGGTTTTTAAAGTTGTGGATGTGTTTTACCCGGTTTTAGAGTTCAGGAGGAAAAATGGACTTTCTTGAAAATTAAGGGAGATAATGTGGACTTTACGGTTCAATCAATACAACGCTGAAAACCTACACGGTCCCTATCCAGCGTCCGCTTCGTTGCGAGCCGCCGTCAAAAGAAAAAAAATCCGCGTCGGCGCTCCCGCCGCCACTGTGAGAGCTGCGTGGTGCTTCCCGACGTCTGAGCTCGCGCCTTGGATGTTCCTTGACGCCGTCCCCGTGTCATGGACGCTCCTCGACGCTGCGTCACTGCCTCTGCCGCATCGTCGCTGCCATCTGCCCAACCTGCTGCCACCACTTCGTCGTCGCCGCCCTTCCCGTCGCCTGTGCATTCTGCACCAGCACCGTATGCACCCTCTCCATGCCCACTACCATGTTCGACTGTTTGGAGAATTTTTGTTCAAATCTGCTCAAATTTCATTCAAATTTTTAGTGGATACCAGTCCGAATTTTCCGAAATTCGTCTAGTTCGGTGGACTCTGAATTTTTTTTTTCAGAAAAGAATCCCAGAACCTGCCTTCATAGACTTCGAAAAGGCGTATGATAGGGTGAGATGGGATTTTTTAGAAGAAACAATGAAAGGAAGAACTTTCCTGATCAATGGATAAATTGGGTTATGCAAACTGTTAGAGGGGGGCAAGTTTGCATTAATGTGAATGGGACAAGGGTCCATACTTTAGGACTATGAGGGGGCTTAGGCAAGGGGATCCACTGTCCCCTCTCCTCTTTAACTTAGTGGCTGATGCCCTAAGTACTATGATGGACAAAGCGGTTGAGAGGGATCTTATTGTGGGCGTCTTAGACAAACTAATTGATAAGGGTGTCTCTCACATACAATACGCCGATGACACTGTTTTAATGACAGATGGGTCTGATAAGTCAATCATAAACTTGAAAATCCTATTATATTGCTTTGAGTGGCTGTCTGGGCTAAAAATTAACTATCACAAGAGTGAAGTGATATTCTTTGGCTTTACACAGGCTGAAAAAGAAAGAAAAGCCAACATGATGAACTGCAAGCTAGGGGAACTTCCAGTCAAATACCTAGGCATCCCTGTGTCTGATAGGATGTTAGGCATTGGGGCCTTCCAGGGTTTGTCTTGTAGGATGATGAAAAGACTTGACCCATGGAAGGGCAAGTTTATGTCCTCTGGGGGGAAATTAATTCTAACTAACTCTTGCCTAACAAATCTCCCTATGTACACTATGGGTTTTTATATGCTACCTAAGGGATCACATGCTAAGATGGACTTTATTAGATCTAAATTCTTTTGGCAAGGTGCTGGGGACACTTTCAAATACCATATGGCCAAATGTATTTCTATGTGCAAACCCAAGATCCATGGAGGGTTGGGGATTATTAATACTTACTTAATGAATCAATGCCTAATTACCAAATGGATTTGGAAAATTGAAAAGGGATCGAATGAGTTGTGGTATAGAATTCTGAAAGCCAAATATCTGAAAAAAGGTGGTTTCTACAGCTCAACTAGTGTGGGCTCTTCTCAGTTTTAGAGGAGTTTGCACAAGGTTAAGCATCTCTTTAAGTGGGGAGCTGAGTATAATGTGCATAAGGGTGATAGGGTAAGTTTTTGGCATGATTCCTGGACTGGGGGGTACCCTTGAAATTACAGTTTAGTAATATTTTTGCAATCTGTCAGAACCCTGAAGCTGTTGTGAGCAAAAACTGGAACAATGGGGAATGGGATATTCCTTTAAGAAGAAGTTTAATAGGTGAGTCTCTTCGTGAATGGGGGGAATTACATGAGTTGCTTCAAAGGGTTCAGGTAGATGGTCAGGGAGAAGATCAGGTTTATTGGGCTCTAGAGAAATCTCGGGTTTATTCAACTGAGTCTCTGTACAATTGTCTTACCCATGGGGGGGTCAATGACAAAATAAATGATCTTATTTGGAAAAGTAAAATCCCTCTAAAGGTTAAGGTTTTTCTATGGCAAGTCTTTCACAAAAAATTACAGACTGCCTTAGCTTTGTCAAGGAGAGGTTGGCATGGTAGCCCGCTGTTCAGTGTCTGCAACTTGGTTGAAACTGTTGATCATATTCTGTTTGGTTGTGTTTTTTCTCAGTACATTTGGTGCTGTATTAGAGACGCCTTTAACCTTCAGAGCTTCCAAACTTCTGTTAATGAGCTGTTGGCTCAGTGGCTGACAAGGCGGCTGGGGGTGCCTAAAAGGATTTTGTTTGTTTTCTTTGCTGGATTAGCTTGGTCAATTTGGAAGAATAGAAATAAAATGGCTATTGAGAAGCGCTTCCCTATTAATCCAGATGCTGTAATTCATGATGCAATCAATTCTCTGCAGATGTGGTGCAGTTTACACAAGGAGAGCGACGCTGCCAAGCTGAAGGAGTTGGCTCAAGGCTTGTCGGACTGGATGCATAAGAAGCCTCATTTTACCGGCCCCTTGCTCGGACATTGTTACTCTTTAGTGGCTAGAGTTTCTGTTAGATGTTCGATCTTTTTTCTTTCTGTTCTGCTGTTGAGTTGCTGTGACCTTCCAAGGTGGGAGTTTTTCTTTGAGTAATTTTCAAACTGGAAACCCCAGTATGTAATGAACGTGGTTATTGGCTTTCTTAAAAGCTGAGGTAATCTCCTTTCAAAAAAAAAAAAACAGTCACACTACTGCTACAAACTCAGGGTCAAGAGGCTGCAGGCCATGGTGGCACAGTGGGCACTGGGCACTGCCCCCCTGCTAGCAAATTTTCAGAATCTCTTATTATCAAAGCAGGGAGCTTTCGTCGCCCGAAATTGGGTGCAGAGGCAGAGCAGGCGTCGCCAATAGGCTTCTTAGGCACGCAAGGAATAGATGCAGGCACGCAAGGAATAGATGCTGCAGTAGTTTGCTTGCGCCCGGACAGGGATTCAGGGAATACGTGCATAGCATTCAATATGGGGATGATCCGTTCCTTTGCAAGCACAAGGAAGGAAGGTAAGACTAAAGGAACATGACTAGCTTTCACTCCTCGTTGATACGTGTCTGATCCTCGTTGATTCGACCCCGTTCGTTTGGAGAAATCTGGTGAAATTTATGAGAGGAAATCAGCTATGAACAGTAACTTTCAGCCGTGGCAACTTTTGCACCAGCCGGAACGGCCGAAGTCACCTCTCCTATTTATTCCCTCTCTATCTATCGCGGCCTGCCCATATGCACTGTGCTCACACATCTTTCGAATCGGCCGGCAGCAGCAGCAGCAGCTTGTGGCTTGTGGGTTGCATAAAGTGTTGATTGTGAATTGTGATTGAGTTCTCATTGCTCCTTTAATTTTCCCTTGGGTGAGTGCACTTGCATTGCAGCATGCAGTACCCGTACCGGCAATGGCTAATAAGTTTCATTTCTATTGCCTGCGACATCTATTTGAGCATTTATTTTGGCTTTTGTCTTCCTCGCATGCAGCATTCTACATCGAGAAGGCGTGGTACGTGGAGGCATGGAGGCGGCCGCCATCAACGCGGCGCTGTGGGTGCTGGGCAAGCCGCTGGACCCTGTCAAGGACGGCCTGCTGGAGGCATGGGCGGCCACCACCGGGCTCGCTCCCAACATCCGCGAGCTCAAGCTGGAGCTGCTCTACGCGCAGGCGATGCTGGACAACGCCCGTGACAGGGAGCCCCGCAGCCCCGCGCTGGTGACGCTGCTGCATGAGCTCCGCCGCCTGGCGTACAGCGCCGACGACGTGCTCGATGAGCTCGACTACTTCCGCATCCAGGACACGCTCGACGGCACCTACCATGCCAAGAACTGAAGAGCCATTTTGATACCTTAGTTTGGATATGTGTCTCTCAAACCTTCAGTGCCGCTAGGTTGGCACAGGAAGCTGTAACAAAAATACCTAAAACTGAAGAAGAAAAGGAAAATAGCAGTGACCAAGAGCTAATTGAACAAAGAATAAAAGCTAAGAATTTTCTACTTGTGTTGGATGATATGTGGACATATCATGAGGATGAGTGGAAAAAACATGCTAGCGCCTTTTAGAAAAGGGGAGGAAGAGGGCAATATGGTTATAGTGACAACTCGAGGTGGCAAACATGGTTAAGGCAATTGATTGCCCTATAGAAATGGGTCGATTGGAAGCTGCAGATTTTATGAAATTATTCGAAGTGTGTGTATTTGGTGATCATCAACAGCCATGGAAAAACCATCCTGAACTATTTGATGCTGGAAACAAAATAGTGACCAATTTGAAGGGGAACCCTCTTGCAGCAAAAACCGTTGGGAGATTACTAAGAAACCAACACTACCGAAAACAGTAGAATTGCCGAGTGCCTGAGGGTTTACCGAGTGCATTCCATCGAGCACTCGGCAAACATCCACTTTACCGAGTGTATTTAATGAAACACTCGGCAAACACATAGCACTCGGCAAGCCTAATATAAAACACTCGGCAAAATACAAAAAAACTCTCGGCAAACACGGACACTCGGCAAAATGGAGTCACGTGCGCTGGGCGTGCGGCGGCCATCTGACGCCCGTTGGGTGCGCCGCCCTGCCGTTAGAACTTTGCCGAGTGTCCGTTAGAGACACTCGGCAAAGATAAGGTATGCCGTGTGTTTTTTCTTGACACTCGGCAAACTAATACTTTTGCCGAGTGTTTTTTGTTTACACTCCGCAAAGTAATATTGTTGCTGAGTGTTTTTTAGTGGCACTCGGCAAAATAATAATTTTTTTCTCTCCTGCCCTCCAAACTTTTTCTACTCTCCACATACAACATGTGGTACTACATGTTAAAATTTGATATATTTCTCCATCTGTTTGCTATATTTAAGTAATTTATTGCATTTAGAGGAATTTTTTGGTTTAAGTCAAATTTGAACTACAAGTGATACAAATAATGGAAAAAATTGAGTGAAGAAATCATGTTCATGTCATTGAGTCCATTTTGGGGCCTTATTCGGGAAATAAAAAGAATTTTCGAACATTTTATTCAGGAAATACGTCCACGAACGTGTGGCCGAATGATTTTTAAATTCTAAAAAAAGCAAACGAAGTCTGAAAATGATGAGATTTGTCAAGATCTAATATCATACGTGGAGATGGTGAAAAAAAATTGAGAAGGTTTCGCATAATTTGTCACGTATGACCTTTACAAACAGAAGCATCTCCATACAAGAATCGTAGCGTTTAGAAGGATCCGATAAGATTTGAAGTCAAAGTGACGGTCGAATCGGGGTTTGACTTCAAAACTTTTTGTATAGGCAATAGACAATATAGATTGGTTCACGTCAAATTTTGGTAAATTTTCAAATCCGTTTGATAATTTTAATTTATTAACTGCAATTATAGAATTTTAATTGATATATATTGAATTTGAGCTATAATTGCATGAAATAATGGATTAATATTCGTAGAAAAATCAAATATGCATTGTTGAGTGAATTGACAAGATATTTTTAAATTACATCGTAACAAATTTAGTAGAACACGCTATGAAGAAGGAGGACGGTGGAGCATGAAATATCGATTTATTTTTGCCGAGTGTTTTGTACCTGACACTCGGCGAAAAGAGCAGTTGCCGAGTGTCATATAGGGGACACTCGGCAACTCCGTCGACCGGCCCCACTGCACAGTATCGGGCCGTAATGAAATATTAAAAAAAATAATGCCGAGTGCCCCAGATCTTGGCACTCGGCATACTCCTTCAAAAAAACCCACCGGTTAGCACCCTTGGCCCTCACCCTCGCGCACACAACACGCCGCACCGCACACAACCGCACGTCGCCAACCCCAGCCCGCACCGCGCCCCGCCGCCTCCCCGCCCCACCGCGCCCCGCCACCGGCGCGGCATCGCTGCCCCGCCCCCGGCGCCGCCCGCCCCCAGCGCCGCCCGCCCCCGGCACGTCCTGCCCCCGGCGCCCCGCCCCGCCCGCGATTGCGAAGCCGTTGGACGACCTCGCCAGGCCGCCGCCACCGCGACGCACCGACGCCGTTCCCACCACATCGCCGCACTTCTCCGATGAGGAGAACAACCAGGTGTGCCAACCCCTTCTCTTCCCTTCCTGCTGTGCGCACATGTATTATGCCTGCTAACTTGGACTCCTTCCAAAGATTATCATGCATACATGTGCACACCCATGTTCTTTACTGGATCTACGCCTGCAGTATGTTTGCTTTGCTCTGAATGTTCTGTAGTGGACTGTTTAGATTCGAATGTGTTCTAATCATATTTGTTTGCTTTATTCTGAATTTAAACATCAATCTACGAATGTAGTAGGTTTTTCCAATTGGCTGCAAATAGATCTTCCTATATGTGATTTTGAGTTTGTTGCAGAATTTTACCCATCAATCTACTAATTTTCTTTTCAGATGAAATTTAGGTGGTCATTCCTCAGTAGTCCTTGTTTCTTTTCTTTTTACGTTGGTGTATGCTTAGTGTTGTACCTTGATTCTTAAGTTAATCCGGCAATAAAGCGTGTTGTGCTTCTGTACTGTCGTGTTCTTTTTAACTGATGGCAAGGTCAAGTTGAAATGATGCATATCTGGAAGACTGCTAGTCTGCAACTGTATATTCTAGTTCCTATCCTGTATCAACAATATTATACTCTGTGAGTACAGTCATCATGCATTCCATTCAGGTTGTAGAATCATACAACAGCAAACGATTGCCATTCTTGTTTTCTTTTTGTTTAATTTCTTAGCACAAGTGTCCCTCCGTCTATAAATATATGACGTTTGGGACAACCTATTGAGTTCAAACTAATTAGCCTGTCCTAAATGTCATATATTTTTAAAATGAACTATTAATTAGTTCTGCTTTTACCTTGGCCAATATGTTATTGAACCAAGCCTGGAAATTACTCCCTCCGGTCTGGAGCTGTCATTTCCGACAACAAAAGTGAACTGCAACTAGTGTACCTCTGTCCAGGATTGATAAGAGTTTTTTTATAGGAGAAAAGTCGGATTTTACAAATTTTGACCAACAATTAGTCAAATTATATGTAAGTTTAGGGCATAAAACTTGCATAAGTAGATTTGTATTCAAAAGTGCATCTAAGATAATATTGACTTCTCTCTGGTCAAAGTACTCCTAACATTCATGGACGGGGGGAGTATATGCTCTCTGAAACACCAGGTTCTATTGACTAGAGGGAGTATCAGTTACAGAAGCTGAAAGTTTCTTATGAAACAATGGAAGAGTAGTATAGGGAGTTTATGCACAAGTGGTTTCAGGATCAGTTCGTTTACTGTTTACCAGATTGCCATGATATTTTTTATCCAGCATTCTTTTAATGATTGCCATTCTTTTAATGATCTCGCTATACACTTACTGACCCAATGCATTTGGCTCTCTATTATCTTCAACTTGCAGGTTTTTGCCGCCGCTCCCTGCCTTGCCCTGCCACCTGGTTCTGCCTTGCCCCCCCCCCAACTTGCCGTTGTTTTGCAAGGTACAAGATGTGTATGTGGTTGTCGGCCATCGTGCCGTTTGTTGCTGAGTGTATGTGGTTGTCGGCCATCATACCGTTTTATTTGTTGCAGGTTTTGAAAACCTCCCTGTGCAGGGGAGGTGCTGCCGAAATTTAGATTTGACACTATTATGTTCCTTTTATTGTAGGAGAGGCTATTGCAACGTCCTCGACTCGTGTTGCTCTGTAAGTTGGAGAAGATTTTTTTCACCCGGCTTCTTCAATCCGATGCAGCATATGATTCTGCACCTCTCGTATGAAGCTCGAATGGGGGGGCCTGTGCAGGGCCGTTGGTGCTATTCAATTGAGAGATGTCAAAAGGTTCTTCGAACTAAATGTAAAAATAAATGCAAAATTGAAGCATCCATTGCAGAGGCATACATTCTGGAGGAGGTGTCAAACTTCACAATAAAATACTATGCTGACAACCTTCCTAGCGTGCATAATCCACCCCCTCGTTACAATGCCGGTGAAGATGAATCGAGCCTTAGCCTTTTCCGAGGGCAACTCAGAAGTGCAAGTGGTGCGACCAACAAGACCTTGAAACATGAAGAGTGGCACAATATTATGCTGTATGTGTTGATCAACCTATCCGAAGTGGAGCCGTACATGCTGTAAGTTCTCAACAAACTTGTTCTCAAACTCCCATGTTTCTCGTTGGTATACGGAATTTCATCGTCAATTCTGACGTGAATCAAGGGAGCCTACCCCGCAGGAAGCTGAGACCCTTCTTAGAGAGGGTGTGGGAAATAGAATGCCCGATTTCATTTCTTGGTTCAAACAGAAGGTACAGTCCAATTTAGCTCGTACTTAGTTTGACATTACAAGTTGCTCGTACATGCGAATAATATAACGAACCACCCTGCTTGAACTTGTAGGGCCAAACTGATGCGTCTATGAGTGCCGAGTTGAGACAGGTTGCCGATGGCTGTGCCTATAGGGTCAAGTCATTTACCGGTTATGACATGAATGGCTATCGCTTTCACACAAAAAGCCACGAGCAGAGTCGGCCCAATCGAAGAACCACAAATACCGGAGTTTTTACGTCAGGATTAGATGGGATCGAGTACTACAGAAGAATTGAAGAAATATACGAACTCATGTTTCATGGTTGCAAACCTCTTAATCCAGTCATATTCAAATGCCATTGGTTTGATCTATCAGTAGTGAGACGGACCCCTAATCTTGGGCTAGTCAAAATTCAACAATCATCCGTCTTACCAGGAGACGATGTCTATATTGTGGCTCAACAGGCCACACAAGTTTATTATCTCTCATACCCATGCCAAACCGACGACCGTCTTAAGGGTTGGGATGTTGTGTACAAGGTATCGCCACACGG